AAAATTGTGCAAATTAAAGATTCTTTTCAGCAGTGCACATAAATATGAGAGAATCATAGAACCATTATCACTTATGTTAGAAATGACCTTTAAGTCTACCACTAAATGATGTCCCTGAGTGCCACATCCGCACATCTTCTAAAGACCTCCAGGGATGGTGACTCAACCACTTTCCTCGGCAGCCTGTTCCAATGCTTGACAAACTTTTAGTGAATTTTTTTTTCCTAATACCAAATCTAAACCTCTCCTGGCACAACATGAAGCCATTTCCTCTTGTCCTGTCACTTATAGTTGATAGAAGAGGCTGACCCCCACCTTGTGACGACCCCCCTTTAGGGAGTTGTAGGGAGTAATAACATTTCTGCTGAGCCTCCTTTCCTCCAGGCTAAACACACACACAGCTCCCCCACCCACTCCTTACAGGATTTGTGCTCCAGACCCTTCAACAGCTTTGTTGCTCTTCTCTGGACACGCTCCAGCACCTCAGTGTCTTTCTTGAAGTGAAGGGCCCAGAACTGGGCACAGAACTCGAGGTGTGACTTCATCAGTGGGACACTGGTACAGCGAGAGGATCACCGCCCTGGTCCTGCTGACCACACTATTTCTGATACAGGCCAGGATGCCATTGTCCTTCTTGGCCACTTGGCCATGCTGCTGGCTCATGTTCAGCTGGCTGTTGACCAGCACCCTCAGGTCCTTCTCCAATGAACAATTTTCCAGCCACTCTTCCCCCAGCATATAGCACAGCATGGGGTTGTTGTGACCCAAGCACAGGACAAGGCACTTGGCCTTGTTGATCCTCATACAATTGGCCTCAGCCCATTGATTCAGCCTTTCCAGATCCCTCTCCAGAGCCTTCTTACCCTCCAGCAGATCAACACTCCCACCCAACTATGTGTTGTCTGTGAACTTACAGAGGATGCACTAGTCCAGATCATAGATCAAAGTATTAAATAGGACTGGCCTCAATACTGATACCTGGGGAGCACCACCAGACAGCAACTGGATTTGCACTTTGGGCTCTGCCTTCCAACCAGTTTTTTGCCAAGCCATGAGCAGCCAGTTTCTCCATAAGAATACTGTGGGAAAAGAAGTCAAAGGCTTTACTAAAGTCCAGGTAGACAGCATCCACGACCTTTCACTCATCCACCAAGTGGATCGCCTTGTAGAAGGACATCAGGTTGGTTAAACAGGACCTACCTTTCATGAACCCAAGCTGGCTGGACTGGATCCCCCGGTGTCCTGCATGTGCACTCAAGATGATCTGCTCCATGACCTTCCCTGGTGCTGAGGTCAGGCTGACAGGTCTGTAGTTCCCCAGATCTTCCTTCTGACCTTTCTTTGTAGATGGATGTCACATTTTCTAACTTCAGTAATCTAGGACCTCTCCATTTAACCCCAACTGCTGGTAAATGATGCTTGGTGAGCACTTCTGACAGTTCTGTCAGTACCTTTGGCTGGATTCTATGTGGCTTCATAGATTTGTGTGTAAATGGTGTAGTAGTTTGCTGACCATTTCCCATTGGATTATGGGAGCTTCATTCTGCTCTCCATCCCAGTCTTCCAGCTCAGGAGGCTGGATGCCCAGAGAGCAACTGGTCTTGCTATTAAAGACTGAGGCAAAGCAGGTATTCAGTACCTCAGTCTTCTCCTCATCATTTCTCACTAGGTTTCCCCCACATCCACTAAAAGGCAAAGATTCTATTTAGTCCTCCTTTTGTTTCTAATATATTTCTAGAAACATTTTTTGATTGTTTTTTCCACCAGTAGCCAGATTAAATGTTAGCTGGGCTTTGGCCCTTCCATTTTTCTCTCTGCATAACCTCACAACATCCTTGATGCCCTCCTGAGTTATCTGTCCCTTTTTTCAAAGGTGATACGCTCTTGTTTCCTGAGTTTGAGCCAAAGTTCTCTGTTCAGCCAGGCTGATCTTTTTCCCTGCCAGTTTGTCTTTCAGGACATGGGAATGGCCTGCTTCTGCACCTTTAAAATTCCTTAAAGTGTGTCTGGCTTTCCTTTGTCCTTCAGAACTGCCTGCTATGGAGCTCTCTCAACCAGTGTCCTAAACAGGCCAAAATCTGCACTCTGGGAGTCCAGTGTAGCAGTTCTGCTGACTCCCCTCCTTACTTCTCCAAGAATCAGAAACTATCTTTTGAGATAACTTTGCCCAAGATGACTTGTAACCATCACATCATCAGTCCTTCTCTGTTCAGAAAATCAGGTCTGGTGGGGTGCCATCCAAAGCTGCCTCATTCACCCGCTGTCCTATAGTTGATGGACCGTTGATCCTGCCCCTTTTTTGCAATGCCCATTGCATTTAGAGTTACATAATTACTATAATTTTTATGAAGTTATATTAAATCTTTCTTGTCATTGCTAGTATGCTATTTAACTGATTTTATTGTAGTTTCTCCTGGGGTTTTTTTATGGTATAAATGTATGAAACCCTGCTTACATGAAAGAAGAATAAAAACATTCCAAGCAGTCTGTTGCTTTCTTAAAACTGAAACCTTTGCTGCCCTAAAGGACATAGAATATATTATTAGTCTTGGAGAGCCCAGCAGACTACTGTCTGGAATCTAACAACTATAGCACTTCTGGTTTTGGGAAACTTGGTAAAAAGATGAGTTTCAAATTGGTTTTCTGTCTGCAGCAGACTGAATGGTGCAAGGATAAACGTCAGTGGCCATATTTTTATCTCAGCTCAAATGTGAGCTACTGATGAAAACAAAAAAAAAATCTAAACTGAAGAATAATTTCTTTAGTGGCAGGCCTTTCTGACAAAATCATGGTTTAAAGTAAAAAGGAAAGGATGTTGTGTTTGTCTTTGAAATGGATAACTTAAAAATTGATAGAGTCATGATCTCTGAAATGAGGGAAGATTTAAGGATACGACTAGCAGAAATAGCAGTTCTGGTTTTAGGTAAACAAGAGTCCCAAATCAGAATTGTGGTCCACTGCACTAAGTGTTTTGCAAACAAGATGAAAATGTATTATGCATTAGCTAATTTGTCAGGTCTTGTAGGTTTTTGTAAAGGGTAATGACACAAGAGTACAGCTGTTAGCTGCAACCTTAGTTGACCTTATCTGACAATCATGAGAAGTACTAAATAACTGTGGAAAAGAAGAGCTCTCTATCCTAGTTATAAGTCTCTGCAATTCCTGTAGCTTCAGTGAATTTCTATAGCTTTTGCAGGAACCTAACCTGGAGTTAAGAGTCCAAGCCTCTGTGTTGGTGCAAGGCTGTTGATTTTGCTTCCGCTGTACTTCCTGTGATTTCTTTTGGTAGGGTGCACAGTGACTCGGAGTGTAACCTACCTTATTTTGACAAAATCCTTTGCTCTCAATAATTCCATTAAAAATGATCCAGTTGGGTTCTCAGATTACATCCACTGTTTTTGTAGCTAAAACTATATTTATAAAGTGTGAGGTACTGTCTGCTGTGCTATATGTTGACATTTGGCTTCTATTCCCTTCTGCCTGCTTGTGTAAATCAGTTTTATTTGAAGTGTAACAGAAATGTCTCATAAGTTCAATGTCTTTGCAAATAGCCTTTGAAAAAGATTTTAATAGAATTTCCTATAGCAATGCAGCTTCTTAAAATATGAAGCTATTGTACATCAAGGAGAATTTTGCTGTATACATTCATGCATCTAAACACAGGAGAGGGCATGCTGTACTTAACTTGTTTGACCTGTAATGTATACAAGGAATGAAAAATTTGGCTGCATGTGTAATGACCTGGTAGTCCAGACAATATCCTTTATGCCAATTAGGTAACTGACATTCATAATGCATAGAATCTTGCTTGTAGAGCAGTCTAGCATTATATTTGCAGAGCTACTGCTATACTAACTGGTATTACATTCACGTTCAGTGATTTATTTGACCTGGAAAGCCAACAAATTTCTGCTTTTCTAAAAGGATATTTTCTAGGGCTTCAAATGATCAAATGATCTGTGTTCTAGTTTCCTGTTTTATTCTGTGATGAACACATGATCATTTGCAATATATGTGTGTATATATATGTATATGTGGTGGGACATTATGTACATATAGTATATACATCAGCATATATTGGGACATGATTTTCATGTTGGAATGTGACTACAGTATCAGACCGTGGCTTCAACAACCTATTTTAGAAACTTGACAAATAAATCACTAATGATACTTGTGGAAGTTATTGCCTTCCTTAGATGAAAGTACCAGTTTGTATAGAGTAAGCTTTGGATCTGTCCCACTCTTAAATAAAGCATAATATAATAAGCTATAATTTGCAATGGCTGCTTGACACACAGAAGGGTATTTTAAATAACCTGCATGCAGAAATTAACCCTTAGAGTACTGCTTCAAATTCTTCAATTTATTTTGTTATTTAATTTCACCAGTGGGCTATGCTGCTTTTCTACTCAGTTCATAGTACTGTATATAAAGTACATTAAATAGCCATACCAAAAAAAAAAAAAAAAAAAGTGAGAAAAAGGAAAAAAATACCCCAACTTCTTATAAACAAGGGATGCTACACGACTAAGTACTCCAGGTTGCTAATGGGTAATGTATTCCTAAGCAACTACTTTTTTGTTAACGGTTTTGTATTATGACATTAATTAAAAGCATGTAATGTTTCATTGTAGCTGTGTGCTTGTTAGGTTTTTTCTTAAAGTATCATAGGTGTGTCTACTTTAGAAAGAAGTCAGTTCTTTAAGGGTTAATGTGGGGTTAAGTAATCCTGAGGTATTCTCCTGCTTGTCCTTTCCTAAGGGTATCTGCATGTTAACTCTCAGATATTACCTGAATAGGTGAATATAAACACTGTATGAATGACTAACTGAATGAATGAAATAATTCCTTTGAAATGCTTGCTTGTATCTTGTAAATGACTGGAAAACAGAAAAATTATTTCTGGATCAAGGTCTTTAATGAAATGCATACAATTCTCAGCAGAGTAGAAACTCATATACTGACAATTTATTCTGATTTCTTTTTGTTTCAAATAGCCCAATAGAATCCTGCCAGAATTTCTACAAAGATTTCACATTACAGATCGACATGGCTTTCAATGTGTTCTTCCTACTCTACTTTGGCTTGCGTGTAAGTAGCGTGTGTTTCTTTGATAGCATGAGGCAGCAAGGGAATATAGTTTATTAGATAGGAATGAATGCAGCTTGACTCTTATGGCTGGACAGAATTAAGCTAATTTCTAAAATGCAGGATCAAAACATTTTATTTGGAACATTTAGGTAATAAGAAGAATCTAAGATCACTAAGGACACTTATAAACAACAGTTTATAAGTGAAGCTGTCCCAGAATGTTCTTATGTGATAGAAACTGAAAACTATAACAGTTCAGTGCTGGTCAGTGACATCGAATTTAGTTTCAGTGTTCTCAATGGTGTGATAACTACTTCAGCAAAACTGGTGAACAGTTGATCTATTCCTCTGCTGTTAGATATGTCTTTGGCAGTCAAAGGTTGAGATAACAGCTGCTAGAGCTGCTGTATCAGTTTTGTAGGTATCTACTTTCACAGACTGCTAATGAGTGTTTTGCATAAGCTATAAATACTAGTCAATATGCTGAAACACAGATGCTTAGATTGTACTTGTCACTTACTGCAAATCCAGTAATGCTGTTTCAGGATCTGAAAGCTGGTACATCTGAAACAGGTAGGCACTTAATAAACTTTGGGCTGGTAATGCTTGACTATTCAAGCTGTTTTCATTTGATTGTGGGTTTGTTTTGTTTTTTTTTTCTAATACACTTTGAAAACCAACTTTGCTTCTTAATTGAAAATTTAGGGGAAAAAGACCTTAACAGAACTACAAGGAAAACATCATGTGAGGAGAAAGTCTGCTACATTGTTTTTTGAATTTGATACAAATATTGCCTCCTGATCTTTCTTTGTCCATTTTGTTCCTGAATCACAGGAGGCCCTGTGTCACAATGATAGTTGTGTTCCTTCGATTTCACTTCTGACCAATTTAACCAACTTTTTCTGAAGATACAGTAAAGAATTACGTTGCAGATCTAGGTTATTTCATCACCTAGTCTAGGTGCAGTGTTTATCCTTTAGCTAAATAGATAAATTCCTTCAGTATTTACACTACTACGTATGCATTCTAAGCTATATTTTAAAAGCATATGGTGTAATAGCCCCTAATTCATGAGGGTAGGGCTTTAGCAGACATCCATAAGGCTTACAGTGTAGTTTGACTTTTTAACATAAGAGATTCAATGCATGGTAGTTGCGAACCTCCAAGAACCTTTTTTTAGAAGTATCCACATCTATTTGTAAATTCTGTGCTGGTGATAAGGTTGAATCTTCTTACCAAAAGAATTAAAATTACATATTGTAATTGTAATTACCTATACACTCTTACTCAAAGCAGTAGCTTCAGTTACTTCACATTATCAAGAAATACAGCACAATAAGAGAGAAGATACTGAGAGCTGATGTTAACACTTTCATGTCTGCACTGTATGTTTTTTGAAAGAGACAGTTCTTTTGACTGCACCCTGGTCCTGTGGACTGAATGCACTTTAGCAGTTACAGTGAGATGCACTACCAGAACTCATTTTTTTCAGTTTTAGTTTCAAGCACAATAAATTCTTGTGTTGTCCAAAATTGTTTTGTGATGCAAACTGAGGCTATGGTAAGTGTGAATGAGAACTTTCACTTCAGATTGGTGTTGTTTCTCTAAGTTAAAATGCTATCACAGGTGTACCTTCAGATCTCCAGGAAGTCCTGATGTACTAAACAGTAGTTTCTGAGGAAAAGGTGATGCTTAGTTGTGTGGACTCAAGAATTGGATCAGTAATGAATTTACTACTTATGTAATACGCACCTTGTATCTTTAGGTATTGTAGTGGTTTAGGGGTTTTTTTTTTCTCTGATAAATATCTCCTGTGAGGAGTCACTGGCAAAATAAAGATTTTAAAGATGTATTTTAGGATCTCATCCTTTTCCATCTGTTCTACTTGAGATTATATTGCAACTCAAAATCATGTAAATATTACCATATCTTCAGTTATAGAAGATATTTGTGTTCAAACAAACATATATCCATTTTAAAATCTTTGTTGGTTAGTATCCAACTATGTGAGAGCTCAGAAATGAAGCCTTCAAACTTCTGATGAAGACAAAGTCTAAACTGCATTAGTTAGCATATTTTCAAGCAATAGGGTCTGGCAGAAAAAGGAAAGTGTGGTAGTAATCCTTCTTTGAAAGGGACAGAATTATGCTAGTGCTTTTAAAAGATAGCATCTCTTCAAGCATGGTAGGATTGCTTTTGTAACGAAATGGGCTTTTACTAGTTGCTAATTACCTAAATGAATAAATGTTGCAGTACTTACACTGCAAAGTATAAGTGACCTTTACAGTCAACAGACTTCCTTTTAACTGACTTTAATTTTTTTGAAAGCCTAAAGGTTGTGCCCTATGAAAAGATAAAATTATGATTGGAACATATATTGTAAGTTATGAAAATATTGATCTGACATCTTAAAAAGCTTTTACTTTCAAATATTCTGACTACTTCTAAATTTAACAGAAGGGAATAGAAATCTTCTGCTGAAACTGGATATTTTTGTTCTGTTTTCATGCTGAAACATTGATATTGAGTGATACAGACTAGCAAAATATCAATTTATTTTCTGTTTTGAGTATTCTCTGAAGCAAATGCTGCTCATGTTTTTGATCTTATTTTTAAATACGATTTCAACATTTTTGACATCAGTACAGTCCCCTTTCCAGTATTTAATCTGGCATTCCAGCAAAGTTGGTATGCACTGTAAACTTATTCTGTCAAAGTTTTAAAGTATTTCTAAGGCAAGGAAATAAAGTGAATGAAGTAGAGATTTTCTGTATTTGCTTTGAAAGAAACTCAGTGAATATTCTCTTTAACTCAAAAAACACAAGCAGTTTTTAAATGTGTTAGTCAAAGTTTCAAGACTTAGATGAGTAAAACTGCTCCTGTAAATGTCTTCATGATGCACTAAAATTTTATATTTATTTGTATGTTTAAATTTCATATTTCTATAAAGCAAATATTTTGTTATGTTTTAATTATTACTCAAATGGAAATAATAGTTTGACCTTATTTAAGCACAGAGGCAAGTTGATGTCCTTGTCATCTAAGTTTACCACTTTCCCTGGGCTGATTTCATAGTCAGGAGAGAGGAATGGCCATGTTTATGGCACAGTTCAAAGGACTGAGCTGCTGGTGTAGTCCTGGACTAAGCCTTGTAGGAGTCATCCTGGTGACCTCTCTGGACTGATGATAAATAGGACTCTTTGTAAACTGTTATGTATTTAGAAACTTGTCAGCAACAAGTGCATGATGAAACTACTACTAGTACATTTGGTGTGCTAGAGCAAACTTTGAAATATTTTATACTTGTCTATACTCTCTAATAATACTGATACATTGTTAATAAATGTGAAAAAATATTTTTAGCACAGATATTACAGCTGATCACATATATGATCTACCTCTTCAGTTATATCTTTCATTTTAATACCAATATGATTATCAAGCAATACACAATACAAACTTCTTTCTAGTGAAACACGTTTTGTCTGGACTGACTTAAAACATCAATTACTACCCCCACTTTTGAGTTTAGTATTTTAGAACAGAAAATATTTCACATACATGCAGTCAGTGTGAGCATAATCTGATTCTTTTATGTCTCCTCCTCTTTTTTTTTTTCCCCCTCCAGTTTATAGCAGCCAATGACAAGCTATGGTTTTGGCTAGAAGTTAACTCAGTGGTAGATTTCTTCACGGTCCCTCCAGTGTTTGTGTCAGTATATTTAAACAGAAGTTGGCTTGGTAAGTAAAATAATTCTTCCTTTTAATAGCTGTTATAAAATTACTGAAACTTTGCACATTTTGATGGAGAATTTTTTCATCTCGTGTCATTGTGTAAACAGAAGAGTAATATGACCAAGTTGTTTTTGCAGTGAATGTGCTATTTCGGTGAAAAGGTGGGTTTTGTCAGAAAAAGCACTTGTCCATTTTGTTCTCAATTTATTAATATAATCTCCTTCTCTAAGTGGTGTAGAACTCCAGCTTGGAATTACTGTGTAACGTGAGTCTGGTTTAGAAAACAGTGATTTCGATGTGGTTGTCTCAGCTTGCAACCTGAACAGCAGGTGATCCTTGCCATTCATTCACTGAATTGGATTGCCGTGAATCATTGTCAACAATGAAATCAACAAGTTTTCATTGCATATTTTGAGCCAATGTGGCTAAATTTTAAATCAAAAGATTTTGGAGATATGTTTAAATACTTAACATTTGTGTTGGACTGCTAGGAATGCGTTGGAAAAAGTATACCACATGTAAAAGCGAATACAAAATGAAACAGAGAGGACAAATCAATTAAAGAACATCCATGAAGTGACATATAAAGTTTCTTATAAAAATTGCATATACTCTCTCATTAGGTAAAATGAAGGTAAAAACTTGGGATTTTTTATTCAGAGAACATTTCCTAAAAATGGCATATTCTGTGAATGCAATATCTTTAGACAATGTATGAAACATCACAGTTCGACAGTTCATTTCTCCAGAAATACAGGCACTCATTGTCCCTGAAAACTGAAGAGTGATTTTCTTAAATGTTTCACATGCAGAGGGAAATAAAACAGAGGGTCTTAAATAGTCTTATAATGTTTTAAACTTTATACAGAATTTTGAAGATACAAAAATTATTGATGATTTACTCTTTTATGAAAATGGATGAATAAATGTATACCACAATAAAGGTCATACTCTATATCGGTGGTTATTAGTATACTAGAGAACAAAGCAGTAAAACAACCAGAAAATACTACCATACATCCTCATACGATTACTGCCGTTGTGTATGGGAAACTAAGTAAGACTTTTTGAAAGAGAAAATGTCATACAGTTCTATGTTAGAATAGGAGATAAGATTTAAAAAGAAAGTATGGAAATAAAAACCACGCCTATGTCTAAAAGAAAATTGCTGATTTCAGTAGCTATAATTTAATCTCAGATTCTTTGCATTATGTGAATTAAAGGGATGAATTTTCACACTTGAATGCGATGTATCAGAGTTTCCTAAAACTTTGAGACTGAAATCCTTAGAGATGAAGGCTGTCTAAGAGAATAAATAGAATCACAGCATCCATTGAAAAGGAATATGAAATGAGAAAATAGCAAGACCACAAAGTCTGGGAAATGAGGCCAAGAGATAATTATTTGGGATGAATACCCTTTATGAAAGTGACTGCATAACTGACTGACTCATGGTGACACAGCAATCTAACTAACAGTACTGACAGGGATAATGAGAGAGTTTGCACATTTAGCATTTTCTGCTGGATATTTTTTACAAGATTTATGTCAGTTTGCAGGAAGAGTTAAGCATTTTGATTATATTTATTCATAGGGTTGAAAGGATTTCCATATCTCTTAATTACACCAATATCACTTTTTTGTGATTTCTTGTTTATAGTCCCACTTTACCTGTTTTCTCGTGGAATCCTCCTGAGACATTTATCATCCACTGAGGCAAAAAATCAGGCTTTTTTAATGTAGTCAGCTTAGGAGTGACTTATTTTCAATGTTTTAGCTTTGCACCTGCTTCCGAAGGGGGTTTCACTTCAGAGGAATCATCCTTAGTGAAATATCACTAATTCAAAAATTTGAATTATTTGACTTCTGACAATAGCTTTAATTTAGATCAGTGAGGTATAATATTTTCAGAAGCTGTGATGAAAGAATTTTTAAGAAAATACACTGAAGTATATGTAATGAAGATTGTGTATTCCTTTATACCGTTTAAAGAGATGGCAAAATTCACTGTCTGTGGAGCTCAAATACTTTGGACATACTTGTAGGTAATACACTGATAGGATTGAGTGAATGACTAGAGGAGAAGGGAGGATATTTAGTCCATGTTATTTAGAGTTTCAGGTTAGATGCCTACTTTGCCTTTTCCTTTTATATATTTTTTTGTAACTCAGAGAGAGATATCCTTATGCAGAAGGTGACTCAGAACAAGTAAGTTATGGTTTCTGCACCAGTTGTCCCTGTGTGTAAGTAGGATTTGCAGGTAGGTTTGCCTTTTAGCAAGGCAAGTAAATAAGAAGTCCTTAATTTTAGGCCATGTGAAAATCATTTGACAGGTTTGGACTTTGCTGTATCCTGGTAATTCTTTGCACATTTTATTACTGATTTAGCAGGTTTTGTTTGTATGCTTTAAATTTCAAGATCAACATCTGGAAGGTATTGTGGATTAGGGTCTTTCCAGTTTATTTCATTATTGATTCATGTCAGTCAGCTGTGATGAGTTTACTGAAGCAGCAGACAGAATGAAAGTCACCAGTGTAGCTCCCTGAATTCCCAATTTCATGAGAACTTTCCTGGTTTAGCTAACTGATGAGTGACAGTACAGACACACAGTTTAAGCAGATTTAAAAAAAAAAACACCAAACCTAAATAAAAATGAACTTTGACTTCAGAGTACTAAATGCTTATAGAAAGATGCAAAGCATAGCAGAGGAAATGTGACCTGAAGGTATCATCTGTTATAGTGCAAAGACAGTGGTTTTTTTCGTCTTCTTAGGCTGATTCAGAAATGCTACCATTCAGTTATTATGTCAGTCTTAGTATGTGAACATTTAGTATTGAAAGACAGATCAGATTATGCTTTTCCATTAAAAGGCTTCTTGGAATGGTATTGTGATCACTGTCTAAAGTAAAGCTGAAGTCAAAACAGCACTTTAAACCTGAAAAATACAAAATTTTTGTATTTGATAAATCCTTCAGAAAGAATTCCTAGGGTATCTTCTTTGCTAGCATAGGATAGCATAAGAAAAGGAAGCACATGAAAAGAATAAATCTGTTATGGAAAGATCTGCATATTATTGAAAAATTGGTACAAGTAGAAATTGGGAAGAAATTTTGAACAAATCATGCTGTATAAAAATTTCTTATTCTATGACTTAAAAACTGTTCAGATACAAAGCATCAGCATTTTTTTCTGAAATTTATTTGCATGTGGATCCCCATGACATTTTTCCAGCGCTGTGGAAAGCATTTGTGTAGATACTTGCTCATAAACTCAACCCCTGCTTTATAAAATCATAAATATTGCTTGCACAACTCTGTACAAGAAACTTTCTGTAGTGATAGGACAGTTTTCCACTTCAGGTGCAGGATACTGTGTAGTGGAGAGAATCTTCCCAAGGGAAGAATGATAATAGAAGGCATGGAGCTTATGGCTCTTGAGCTGTTTTGATAGTGAATTTTGACCAAATTATTTCAGTGCATTGTTGAGTGTATATTGTCTTTCTAGTCTAAGTGTAGGTATGCTAGAAAGGTTGTTGGACAGAAAAAAACTTGCAATGGGAGAAATAATGCCATGGTAAAACTCATTTTTTTAAACCAAAGTCATCATCATGTGAGTATCCTAGCTAAGTTTCAGACTCAGATCTTTTTTCTTTGGATAACTTGCAGTCTGACAAATTGGAGAGCCCTGCAACAAGTGAACATCTTCCAATTTTATTTAGTAATGATTTACCAACATTCTACACACCAGTTAAAACTGTTACTCTGTCTTCAGTGATAGCAGAGGCACTTCAAGTAACTGAAATGCCTTTTATCAGATACTTATATGCTTATAAAAAAGGAAATATTGATCTTATGAGCTGACTGTATTGGAATAAATTGCCTTGACAGGATGGTATTGTTAGAGGAAGATTAAACATGAAAAATATGATCTTAGCTTCACATTTACAAGGACATGTGAATGAGGAACAATCAGCCTACTAGAACTACAGTGATTTAAATAGAATCTAATATATGAATTTGATACTACCCCATGTTATTGAATCACAGAAATTAAAGGTAGAAAAGATCCATTTCCTTTTCCTGACCATATGCTTCATCTATTCTACTGAACAAAATTGCAAGCAATAGAAACTGATTCCTAGTAAATTCTATTATAAGGAAAATTTTTTTCTTCATCCTTCTTCCCTTACATCCCTTTTAGTCTAGGTTGCTACTGATGCTGTGCTGTTTTAGAAAACAATTTGAGATATATAGTGAGGAAAAGAGGTATAAATGTAGACCCATACAAAGCATAGTGAACAAATCTCTTCCTGTAGTGATAGCACAGTTATGGAAGGGGATTCTTCCAGTGCTTGCTTAAATTCTGTCGAGGTCCTGTTACAGACATTTGAATTAATTTTGGATGAGACTTGTGGTTTCAGTATCAATTCCTGATCTGAAAAGACTGTTTCCAACAACGCTGATAGAAATTCAGCTATTTTGGTGAGTCAGAAAATGAAACTGGTTTCCTTCCATGAAGAGAGATAGATGGCTTTGGAGAAAAAGTGGTGTGTCTTGATGGGATAGTTCAGGTGATGATGTGAAACTGCCTGCCCATCCAGCAAGGGTGCTTCAAAATGAAGCTTTAGTTAAGAATCTGTGACATGAAAACAACTTTTGTTTCAATACCCTGTAGACTTCTTTGCAATAGCCTCTACAGAACAGCTCGGCCTGAAACCATATTTGAATCTGTAGAACAGATTGTTCCTTTCAGAAAACTTCAATATTTTAATGGAATGTAGTTATACTGACCCAGAGAAGTCCTCTGAATTGTAGGGATACCACTTTTGCACTTAAAAACTTTGCAATTATTGACTGTATTTTGATGCATCTGCAGGTCTCAAAGCTATCCCTTTGTTAGCACCTTAAATTTGCAATCATTTGCAATGATTTTGTTGGTTAAGTATTGTGCATTCCTGCCATCTATTGGTGTAAACTTGGAATGCACATCCAAATTCAACAATATT